TTTAACCTACTATGTGAACTGATCTAAGTTTATTCCATTGATCTGAGAATCGTGATGTGCTGAAGCCATTCTGTCCACTGTTGTTAATAGAAACGCCAACTAAGAGAGAACGTGATTTTGAATATATGATTTAATATCTAATGAACAATCCCGTTTTTTCACTCGCATGTTGTTAAAGATGTCTGCCTTTGTATTGCAGTTGTTTTATTCTATTGACGATCAATGTTCGAAAATATTTGAAAAGGTCTTTGTTGTATTGATAATTTTATTTTCGTATTGTTCTGTGAAAAGGGAAAGTGGTTGTTTCAATGGTGCTTGATTAGTTGCTTGTTGACATGACAACAGACAAAATGATGCCATATAAAAACCAATTTATATAAATATTGAATCAAGTTGTCAAGCAAATCGTGTCCTTCTCACATCCATGTTAAACTTGAATCGCAGAATTGGCGCTATTAAGCACGTGCTTGTATTGGACTTGCTAAAACACGAGCTATCATAGAAACTGACCGCTAATTATGCTCAGAGGTTGTAAAAACTGACCACGCATGCCTGTTAAATTAGCTGCCGAGAGATCACGTCCTTGCTTTGTAAAAATGATAATCGTTAATGAGAAATCACGCGCAAAGGGTATCGACGGTCGTGGCACCTTGTCATCCTCGACGTCATAGCACGTGCTCTTTTATCATCTATTAGCAGGATTAATTGACATTAAATGACCTTTAACCCCGGTAATTATATGATGATGGGCGTAGCCGTGAATGTGAGTCTGTAATTAAGGTTAAAGCAAATAATTGTGACGAACTAATAACGGTCATGATAGTGCAACAATACTTTGTGTTGGCCATCGTGGACAAATTTTTGACTAAATTAATATATTACATGTCCCGTTTCTTCGTCAATGAGTCTATACAATTTGCATGTCAGTTTGTATCATTTTAGATAAGATTTTTTCTCACGCAAGAAATGTTCAATACAAGAATCCCGTTTTACAATAAAGTAGAAACATGCAAGTCTTATCCTTATAACCGTCATTCACACGCTGTACATAATTCCTCAATGGCATTATCATGGTATAGCCTATCAGTTGAGCTGCTCTGGATTCCTCTTTTTTTTAAGAATGAACAGGTCCTCGTGTATTGTTCAAAATTTGAATTATTTTGTCTGCTATATAAATAAACTATAGGGTTATCATTATAAGACCTGGCGATTTGATTTCCTTAAAAGAAGTGAAATATAGTTAATATCAGTCAAGTAATAATTTTTTAGTTCCGGTCAGACATTAATGAGTATTATGGCGATTTTGTCAGTTCATGAAAGTGCAGACGTTTTAATCACTGCCTTACTGCACCGCACGGAAGTAATAAAAGGTTACAATTTGTTGTTCGTTTAGAAAACGGGTGCATGTTTTGTACGATGATACTATTCTAACAGTGATTTTATCTTCCGTTCGTATTTGTTAATGTCATAAAGACATGATATGGCCGCCTCAGGGGATTGCTTACTTACAAATTGAGTAAATGGTTCCAGCTGGTTACCAACTTTCGTCTGGGAGTTGTAACACTCTATTGATCTCGACTACATCAATGGCACCTTTAGCTTCTGTCTACCAGTCCTTTTGTTTGATCATTGAAGCGTTACGGAAGAAATAACGAAAGTAACTCATGCTTGAAACTGACAGAACGAATTATTGACTCAAGAGTAATGGAGTGTAATTTAATAGACCTACATGAACGAGGCATAAAATGAACAATATTGTCTCGATTATCATGACAATTGTAACTTGAATAATTTTATGAGAGTTAAAGACACTTCATATACATGTACGAAAAAACCGCGTTTAGTTTGCGATGGCATATTCATGTTTTTAGCCGGTCATCCATAAATTAACATATACAATATTGTCACCAATAAACGTCCCCACCCCTCCACACAGGAGTTAAAATAATACTCATCAGGGGTTAACATATTATTTTATTAAAAACAAATCCCATATCCCTAATTTTCTACAGTGGTCTCTTTCCTAGAGTTTGATAAACTGTTTTGTCTTTATTATCAGATTAATAGATTTACGTCATATGATTCCAACACAGTGGTTTACTTTTATAAACTCCCGCTGTTCTATGACGTAAGAATAACCATGCAAGGTACTTCTTCCCTTGTCTCTTTTCTGGGTTTTAGGTTAGCTTAATGAAGTTTAAGAAACGGACTAAAATGATCTGATTGTGTGTCGGCGTTAATAAAAAAAAAATCCTATAGATACATGTATATACATTTTAAGTAAGCAATCCCCTGAGGCGGCCATATCATGTCTTTATGACATTAACAAATACTAACGGAAGATAAAATAGAATAGTATAATCGTACAAGAGAGAGAGAGAGAGAGAGAGAGAGAGAGAGAGAGAGAGATGAATTTACATGCAAGTTTTTGTAACTCAAGACGGTTGTCATAGATACAGAACGTTTCACAGAATAAGGGGGGGATTATTCATTCGTATTATGTTGCAATTCCCAAACTTATTTCTATTGAAAGAAAATCATTCATTCATTTTAAACCCAATGACGACGCCTTATTGTGTTTTTATGTATTGAATAGCTGTGAAAACGTGACTCGCACGGTAACTCAAACCTCGCGAGATTTCATTCATTAATATCATCACGCGCTGACCTTGGGTCAAGTAGCTCGCGCATGTAATTTCATTTCACACGATCAGATTATTCATAGGATATTTTTTGATGCGCTACGTTATGTTTGATTTTTTTAATAATTTTTCTTGACAAGAATTCCCTTGGAAAATAAATACTCACGCTGTGAACGTTTAATATTTCAATATGGCTAATAGTGATTTTAACTGGAAGTGACAATATGGCCGTAAACAAAAACTGATATAATATTTATGTACATATGTTGCACAATAAGTTAGATATTTCACAAAAACTATTAATATGTACCTGAAAACCTTTAGGTCGATATACACGGATCAAGTTCATTGTGTGTGTGGGTGTGTGTGTGTGCGATTTAGATCTTTTAATATGAATAACTCTGTCAGTTCTGTTAAATAGATTAAACTGATAAATATAGAAAACATCTACGTAGAATATTGATTTAGTGTAAACTACAATGAATTGATCGATCTCTAAAATTTTGTGTCGAATGCTTCCACAAAAAAAAAGGAAATGATTCATTTTATTAGATAAAGAATTAATTTTAAAATCTGAAAAGAAACAATAGAAATTGTTAAGACATCATTATAGTTATTCCGATAATTATTTAATTAAACCTTTATGGCACATGCAGTTGGATAAATATGAACGTATTTAAACACATGCCGAACTGTCGACAACACGAATAGTTGTTTTAAATTTGGGGGCTATTTACAGATATTTTATTTTGTTATATCAGCGTTATTTTGTATTAGTATTATTAATATAGATAAAACAAGGTTTAGCCCACGTAACTCTCATAACTAAATTTAAATCTGCACGTACTTTAAACAAAAGTAGTTGGGCTGTTTAAATATTCAACTAAATATAAACCTGTCTTGTAAGGTGCTTGTAAATTGGGTAATGCAATGGGCAGGCGAATGGTTAATAATCGAAAGTCTTGTTGATAGCATGTTTAATGCTTGCATGAAATTTTTTGCCTTATGAGATACCCAATTTGTTGTATTTTTTTAGATGACGTTTATACATTTAAGATACGAGACAAATCCCCTCTTTTGGCACGAGAAACAGGTTTATGTAATTTTGATAATATTTAGATATTTTGTTTAATGCATCAATAATCGCTATTTAAATTTATCCATTAAAGGGTTTGAATGGGTTGTAAATTAGAAGATAAAACTTGAAAACAGGGATCCGATGTCCACGGGGTCGGGTATAAAACATAAAAGTGTATAAAACAGAGTGAAGTCAACTTCAGCTGATAGACCAATATGCTTTTTAGTTCGACTACTTTTTTTTGTTGTTGCATATGGTCTAAAAGTCTATATATGCGTTTCATTGCGAGTGTTCTCTTTATACGAATAAAGGGACATAAAAAGGAATGGTCTGTATAGGAAATATGTTTGTATTTGTGCTTGTCATCCTACACACCATTGATACACATTATTATCGACAAGCCCAGTTCGGAGCAGAACAGTAGGACGTTAAACCCCATTTCATTTCATTTCGTTATCGTCAAAAATTCCGATCATAGAGAGCACAAGACAGAAAATGTCAGATAAGGACACTTGAATATATTGAAAAAATTGAAAAATTCGAAGTTTTCTTACTGTCTAAAACAAAATATTAGGCGCAGTAGTGGCATAATACCCTGTTAAAGTCTTACCAGAGTCCTGTTACTGTGTAATATTCTGTTTAAAGTATATGGGTCGTTTTACTGGCGAAATGAATCGATATTCCAAGGTTTTCATTCTTCAAGAAACATTTGATAGCAGGCGTCAAGAACTTTGACTATATTCAAAAGCAATATAATGCAATTTACATGACATGATTTTCTCTTTAGACATCATGGATTCAGACATACTTTATCTTCTTAGTGGGGAATTAACTAGAATAATTTTATAGACTTTTTGTAGACGTTTACAAATCTGTGTAGTCAATCTTATATCACATAATATTAACATAGCTGTGTTCCTTACGAATTATACCAAGATACGTGCTTGGGTTTTCTGAGACATGACTGTCCAGTCGTGAAATGGAAGGAGGTTGATATGTCGCCAACTATCAACCCGAACCATTTGAGAATATATTATAAACTTGTGGAAATTATATTTGTTTGGTTTACGGTCCTGGGTCTAAATCAAGCATACTTCGTATAACTTAAAAAAAAGGAAATACAAATTCAATCTTACACTTTGTTATTGGCTGTTCCATCCAAGCAGATGGAAACATTTATTAGTAACTATATTCCAAAGCATTTTTTTTATTCCACGTCAACGACTTCTATGGTCAGAAGACTTGAAATTACGATTAATTTTATCTTCTTTCTCTTTCAGAATGAGTGGGAAATCTTCTGGGGACAGAATGAGGATAACGGAAGTTAACCCACATCTGATCTGTGCCCTGTGTGGTGGATATCTAATAGATGCCACAACTATTGTTGAATGTCTCCATTCGTGTAAGTTATGACGTTTTATACAGTAATATCCAATCAGTTTAACTGTATTAACATCTTGTTTTTACCCCAATTACTAGTATTACGGAAATAGACCGTTAGCAGGGCGCTGGCACGATAATCTGGAGTCCCCGGGTTCGATGTCGGTGTTTGGCCGAGAAAGGTCCTTGGGATTTTGTGTCCGCTAAAGAGCCGTTGAATGTTGGATTTCAACATAAAAGTAGGTCGTAGCGCCGCTGTTCAGACAAAATTTCTCTCATAGCAACTGCATGGCGTATAATGCCCATCTTCATTAGCCCGGATGGAACAGAAATGTTAGATGTTATACTCCATTTCATCCCAGTTCATATAATATTACTGACCGATTTTAAACCCTCTCCCAAATTCTTAAACTTAACTCTTGTGTGTTGCATGTTAGTATAGACGGGGCTGGCAAAATATCAGAATATATCTGTCATTGAAATCAACCGGTTGTGAACCAGGGTACCAAGGTTGGGATTATGTTTATCTTTTAATAAATGCTGGACAGATTCTGAAATCGAGTCGCAATACCAGCAGGGAACTGAATAGTCATCTTTGTCTACAGTTTAGATTTGCACTTCATGCAGTTCTGTTTTACGTTACATACAAGTTTCCTGTATTCCAAATTTGCCAGTCTATAGTTGTTCGTAAAGGAAATAATATTTCAAGTTGTTGTTGTTACTGTTAATCGATTGAGTATATAGGTTGGTATTATCGCTTGCGTCAAGACGTCAATATAAATGCACTCCTTGTATTAGTTGTAAACGATAAGCAGTAATGTTTAGTTAGGCAGGATACGACTGAACATCACTCGTAAATCTCCCTGTTTGATCGATTTCCCTTCGTGTAGCACTTTTTCAATCATTCAATCTACAATTTGAGATAAGCCGTAAGATAATTGGGGTCGTTACTTCCTGGATAGGGATCGTTTCACAATTCCTGTTTATCAATAATTGAGTTAAATAGCTGTGTTCTAATGTAAACGGTAAATCGATTTGTTTTTCCTCTAAAGACGTTTCACGGAGATATCTCAAATCGACTACTGAATTGAGCCGGGGTATTATTATCACGTGTATTAGAGATTTCTGTCACCGCTAGAAGACTACTAGTTCGCTGTTATTGAAAGCAATTTAGTCAGTTAGGTTTTGAGTCTAGACTGAAATAAAATTGGGGTTATTCAAGCGGAAGAGGGAATGTATTGCCATTATGAATCTGTATGGCACACAGTTTCGGCCTCTGCTGGAAATTTCAATAGTGTAATCAATATAAATCAGATTCACCATCATTTATGATTGTGTATCAAGTTAACAAAGGAGTCCGAGAACCTAGGTTTGATTTGGGGCTTTTGAGGTGTATAATTTTCCCGGAAGAACTTTTCCCTGAAATGTAGCACAAGAATAAATTGTACTAAACTTTCCTGCATAGAGACTGGTTCTACTTCTGTGTTATTGATATGCACAGTTATCGATCTTTACATCATTGAACTCTCTAAATCCAGAGATGTAAACATACTAATTGAAAGGGGTGGTCATTGGTGACGTTTTAAGAGGTGCTTTTGTTGTGGCTCTTGTGCAAAATATTGATGGTAAAGTGGCCATTGACAACCAGAAGAGCCGCAAGCCAAGTTATATAGTGCAGTGGCATTAAGCTAACGAGTAAAAGTGTTATCTCGCCTTTGGCAGGAAATTTCCAATTAAATTGTTTGGTCCTATGTTTGTTGAAGGGAACCCGTTCTTGAGTTTATTCGGCAACTTTTGAATTAGAATAATATTCTGAATTACATTGGTGGAAAGATATTTTTATGACATAGGCCAAGCTTAACTAAAAATGTCTCATTAAGGTAGATTATCGATTTTTTACAACCGACGCCTGATCCGCCTCAGAATATCCCCTTCTTAGAACTCAATACATTTAAATGCTTCTTACGTGTTCAAAAAATGTTCCACATAGTGATCTTAAAAGGTTCTAAAATGGCGTATTTAGTGTTGTAAAGGAGAGCATTTATTATGCTGGATTTTGAGTGCGAATACAAGAGTATTAAAATGGGTCTGTCCGCCCGTCCGGCTGTCCGTCACACTTTTTTTATGACATAATAACTCTCCTAATTAAAAGACAATAAGGATAACTCGTGTTTGCCATTTTTTGCGTCACTTCCCGATTCTTCAAATCTTCGTTACACATCTATCGTAGCAATGATCTCTTATGTTAAAATTTATATATTTGGAATGTGTTTAACCCGTTTAACCTAATATTGTCCTTTAATTTACAATGTTCAAACTTGTTTTTTATACATTTTTGCGTGCTACTTTGATTTATTTGATGTTCAGTTCTAAGGATGTTTCCCACTGATAATCTGACATGTTAAGCAACACTTGTTTCATCAATCATCAAAAGTAAGAGCTGTGTCGTTTTACGTGGTATTCACTTCAACCCCTCTGAACAGCCGAAATAGAATTAATTGGTAGAATGGGAACAACAGGTATGTTATTGCTGGTATTGAACAAACAATATCCGAAAAGATCGGACGAGAAAAACAAAAACTTTGACCGTCTAATATTCAATCAACCACAGGGTATTATATTATATTCAGCCAATCAGTTTACAGTCTGGCAGCTGGTCACTCTCACAATGGCGGGGTCTGTGGTCCCCTTTTGTCGGCGGTAATTGAGCAGATAATTTGACAGGTCTATTGACGGTGTAGGGTTTTGTTGATGACAGTATATAACCTTTATAGTGTATATAAATTACTGGTTTAATAGTGTACCTGGGGTCTATGTAAATGTAGGTAAATGGTATACCCATTGTCTGGCTGTAAACACTGATATGATGATAACACGTCACATATTCCCTATATTTATAATAGTAAAACATAACAGATCAGTGGTTATAATGAAGAATTATTTTATGGGAGACAAAATCATCGCCTTTGAAAGGATGGAAATTAATTGAAAGGGGTGAAGTATGAAAGATAAAGCATGATAGCTTCCCCTTCATGGACAGAGTTTTGTTTTATGTCACAGAAAAACAAGATATGTAATTGGGAAGGCCATTCTATTACAAAATAATTACAATTGATTTTCATGGCGCCATTTCATGATATTTTAGAATTGAATTTTTTTTTTAAAGAATTGAAGTTTCATAATGATTGGAAGTTGTTTTGGGGAGAGAATGGGAGATTAAAATAATGTTGTAGCTATATTAACGATTTTTATGTTAAAACAGGGAAATTTAATTTAAACAAACAATTTTATGGGTTTATTGGGAAGCCGGTAACGTGTAATGAAAATTGAAAGTAGATTACTGTTTCCTTTTTTTTTCGACTTCAGTTTTTTAGATTCAATTTTTAATTCTGATGTGTACATTTAGAAAAGTAAATATAAATGCGTATAGCAACTGTAAGTAGACACTGTGTTCATCAAAACATTGGTCGATATGTAATATGAAATCGAACTAAAGAAATTGTACTGTCAGTGTAATTTCTATAAGTAGCTTTGTGGGTCTTTTTTCGGGACCAAATAAGAGGGAGTGCCCAGCTAACCAATCGTTGAGATACAAGTAATACCCCCAGTTAACCAATACACGAAATTGTTACATTATCATTATGTACTTAATAATTCCGCAGCTCAACGCGATTATCAAGGTGCGCCAAGACTATTTGGTTCATAAATTCCTAAACTACTAAACTGGTGTATATTTTCAACATATATTAGATAATAATATTGTAGTTAAACGGCCATAAATTATAGTTGAAGAATATGTTAACAGGCGACCGCGTTCTTAGGTTTATTCCAAGCTTAGTGGTTGCCGTAAATAGCGGTAAAATGTCCCCCGAGTAGCAGATTATTTTGAATTTTTTAACGATCATGCTCGCTACATGCGTTGATTTCAAATCCGATAACATTTTTATTACCCCTTTCACCTCGCTTAAAAACTCTTTCATACAATATTCATGTAGTTGATAATATCACAAACACGACACACAGCAGTCTAACGTACTGCTTTGTACATGTCACATGACATACAAATAGTTCACGTGTTCATTGATAAGAAAGGTCAAGGTTATTAAAAACATGTCATTATGATGTATTTTTTTGGAGTGGAAAAATTACGACATCCGTTAAACATTTATAAAGCTTTTTTTTTTTTTTTTTTTAAAAAGCACAATTTTCATTCTTGTTCATGGACACATAATGTACGTGAACCAGTGTAATAGTTCTTTTAAATGTTTCATGAGGGTGATTTGGTTTTCTTTGATTCAGTTCAAAACGTGGGGTATATGCATACAGATGGATATATATATATATCGACCATGAATGACTATCTGTTTTTATTTTTTTACTTGGTGAGAACTGCGTTGGTGTGCTTTTGGCTCATGTCGTTAGTGTGGATCGGCCTTAAAATTTCCCCCTTCGTTGGTATTTTGTATTTCAAATGTTTTTTTGCTTTCATTTATTTAAAGGGGGGGGGGGGGGTAGAACGGACAAGAACCCTTTTAATTGGTTTTTGAAAGATATTCCCCTTTCCTGCTTGGGATAGATTTGGTGCATAAGTATCGTTACGCCACGGAATACTTTGTCCATTGTAAGTCGTTCATGCAGGAATTTTAAATGATGCTTTTATTTACTTTGGCGCTAATTTAAAGTTCTAATGTTTTAAATTATGATAGCCGATTACATCCAGTCTTTCTATGAAGTGAAACTTACATTATGATAATTTATAAGATTATTGAGTCTATAACAAACCTCCACATTTCCCAAACACAACTTTTGAAAACTTGAATTCTTAAATTCGTTGGCAATTAAAATACCTTTGTTTACACTAAGGGACGTTTGAGAGATGAACAGTGGACATTTGTCGAGAATATTGAAAGTACCTCAGCTTAAATTCGAAATCAAAATACATTTTTATACGCCGAAAATTTCTTGTGAACACTCTACAGACTACATATATTATCTGATCATTTTGAAAGTTAAATATAATTTAGTGCGTTGGCCGAGAAAGTTCATGAGGATTTTCCGACGTAGTTCCCCCTTGTCAGTGGTGTAGGACGCAGGGCCCGGCAAGAGTACTTAGGTCGTAGCGCCGTTGTCCGGGCAAAATTTAACTCATAGCACACTGTTTTTCGTCTGCCCGTCTTCATTATCCCAGTCGGGGCAGAACAGTAGGTCATTAAACCCATTTCATTTTCATTCGCTTACATTACTGAGACGAAGAAGGCAATTTGATTTCAACAATTTCCGTTAATTACTTCTAGAGTTATGGTCCTTGTTTCAATTTGTTTGGTTACCAAATTTACCATCCGATCTGTATTAAATTTACATGTATTATTTAAATTAGTAATACGCAAAGAACTCTTGAATTTTAGAAATTTCCGTTTATAACTTCTAGAGATCTACACCTCATCCAAGAGATCTAAACTTCAACTAAGATATCTAAAAGTCAGCTAAGAGATCTAAGCTTCAGCTTAGAGATGTAAACCGCGACTAAGAGATCTAAAGTTCAGCTGAGAGATCTGAAATTCAGCTAAGAGATCTAAACCTACGCTCAGAGATCTGAACCTAAGATGAGATAACTAAACGTCAGCTAAGAGACCTAAACTTCAGCCAAGAAGAGCTATAAATCTCAGCTAAGCTGTATAAACCTAAACTAGAGATATAAACTTTAGCGACAATAAATCTAAACCATAGCGACAATAGATCTTAACCTTGACATTTTGCAACTAAAATAATAGGCTGTATGATATACAATATTAATAACAATGAGTAAAATAGAAATAGATAATGACAAATGTAATACAAGGTTTATACTGATAATAAACAGTTGGGGTTTGTGGAAATCATCTTTAGCACCGTAAGCTGCTGTATGAATACGGGTACAGCCTTAACTGCAACACCGTGTCGATGATATGAGAAAACCAATATAAAATGTGATTTTTCTTTTTATTTTACTTTCAGTTTGCAAAACGTGTATCATGCGTTACCTGGAAACCAGTAAATATTGTCCAATCTGTGAGGTTCTTATACATAAAACTAGACCTTGGCAGAATATAAGGTTTGTAGCTAAATATTATCTTTAATACGTATTCTGTTATTGGCAGAGCAGAACAGTAGGAACCCTTGTGATTGACGGTTTATAAAGAACAGTCTATTTTATATTTAGGAGAGAACAGTAGGACATTAAACCACATTTCATTTCATTTCTTTTCTTTTCTATTTTCAGATTAGATGATACATTGCAGAACATAGTATATAAATTAGTACCGGGTTTGTTCCAAAGTAAGCTTTTTATTACAATAAACTAAATGTGCAGGTATCTTTAATTTTCCTGGAAATTATCTTTAATTTGACTAGACCTCATTAATTTAGATAAAAAAAAATAAAATTATTTATCACGTTCAATATTATATCTTGATTTGTTTTGTCCGATAACAATCTGTCTTCCTTGACATTTTACGTTTATAGAAGAAGAAAAAAACGATTTTTTGCTCCACGGTCGACACCGCAAGCCAAAACAAGCCAACTTCCGCCTGGATCGTTCGAAACAAAAATAAATTGCATAGAGCTTAACCCATCTCTAATCGCAATACCGCACTATATCAACCCAATTAAATACTTTATTTTTTGCCTAAATCAAAGAGGTTTATCCCCTTTAATGTAAAATGTTTTTGTTAAAAGTCATCAGTAAAGTAATCACGATATTATACATTTACTATTTTCTTTACTGTGCAGTTAATTTAAAGGACATTGTTACTTTCAGCTAGAAATAAATATAATTAATATGAATGATAGTTCTTAAAATAAACTTAAAACCCACTTAATTATCGCAAATTCAAGCTCTCTTTGGGTATAAACACTAAAGCCTCCTAAATTCAATGTTAAAATGCCTCTACCCGAAAGCCAATTCACTTCAAATCGAAAGCAATAATTCCACTTTGAACTTCGTGATTTTGGATAATTCTCGAAATCATATGAGTATCATTAAAGTTATGTTTACCATTACCATCAATTGGAAAACATATAACCTACCGAAAACAGGTATATTTGTAACCAAAAACATTTCTTTGATATGCTTCCGGGAAGTCGGTTTTGACTAAACAATTCAATCGTAGCCGCCATTATAAAGTACACCGACGGTTGAGGAACTAGCACTGGCGTTACCAGGCAATTATGTAATGATTATTTGATTTATAACTGTCTTATTTGTCGATTGGATTCTTAATTGTTTTTCCGGTTATTGCGAATTCCTACTCAGATACAATCCTATTAAAACACAGATCCTCTTTCGTTTCGTTTTTTATAGTTCAAAATTTCGTTTTACTTGTCTTTACTACACTAGGATCTGAAAGAGTTGTTATATAACCCGCGTTCTGGATGATGTGAGAAATTAGCCAATGAAACGTTCTGTTACGGCGAGTATTTGGCGTGAAGTGCACGGAACTTTGGGTAAACCACAAAAAACGGCAACGCTGATTGATTTTCAATATCTGACGTCATAAGGTCAGCTCTTCATGTAGTGTAGGCCGTCGAAAGTTTAAAAAAAAAACGAAACGAAATATAGATCCGTATTTTAATCAGATTGACTCGGATAAAAATAAGTTTAGTTGGTCGAACAAATCTGTGCTCTAGTGAAAATATATTTAAAATTATCCTCTATTTCTGTTAATATGTGTTGGTTTTTTTTCTACAGGAGAAATGCAGAGACGGCGAGATTACTATGATAATCAGCCCGTGCCTTGTAAGTAGATTCCACCTTTTCTTTGATAATTTGACGTCATTTGAAAATAACAAAAATAATATTTTAAAATTTTAACATTGGATAGTAATTAACGTTTGATAACGATTGTTTTATTTGGAACGCGAAATTCGGGAGTGAATTCAGCATGAAGACGGTGTTCATTTAATATTTGAACAATTGAAGTCTTGATGTTTGTAGTGTTGACACCGCTACTCTTTCTAATTGATAGGGAAGTAAATGAAATGAAATGGGATTTAACAGCCTACTGTTCTGCTCAAACTGGGCTATGGGGCAAATATCGAATTCCAACTGCCAAGAGATCTTTTACGTTCAGGCCAATGTGTTCACGGGATCTCGGTTTTTCGTCCCATCCGAACGACTATACGTTGTACCTCATCAGGCCCTCTATCCTTCACCACTGCTAAGAGGGAACCACGCCGGATAATCCCGATGAAATTTCTCTGCTATTGCAGGGATCGAGCACGGCACCTTCAGGTTAGCGAGCCAATGTCTTACTCACTTAGCCACCGTGGCCCCACTGGTAGGGAAGTAATTAATGAATTAAATGATTGTTTTTTTTTCAGCAAAATCTGTTGGTAAAACAAGAACTTCTGGAAGGATTATTTTTTCGGCGGATGAAGAATTTAGCATTTCATTGGAGTTTTGGCCCGAGTGAGTACTTTTTCCCCAGGCATTAAACATTTTGTTTTTATAATCAATATTCTATTCGCAATATCTGAATGGTTCTGAGGAACAGGCTTGTCATGTTAAACCACTCTCGCTAAGAAATGCGTCTTGGTGTCCTTTGTGTTTACTTGGAATATTATACTATGGGTTTGAAATGTGTCATAACCTTAAAGGAAAGAGATAATTTATCAATATTAGCAATAACATTTCCTCATCACTTAATGTTTAGGAAGCATAACAGTGTTTGATTTATGATGTGCACTTGTACAAGATTAAAGTATTTATCAATCGGTATAGTCACCAGTAATCTGTTGGATGCATGGTAAGCCAAATGTTCCAGGCTGAAAGGCAAATATTTTCAATTGATTTCACGTAGATTAGAGGATAACTTATTGTATCAACGAACATCGACCACAAGATGGTATCTTACCAAGGTTTTTACTTTTAATCCTCTAAATTTTAACTTACAAACGATTTCAGCCCAATAATTATTGACATGTTCTTATTTCAGGGGACCTAATTCCATGGAAACTGATTGTGATCGTAAAAGCTGTGATAAGGTGAGTTGTTATAATTTATCATTATGAGACTGCGCGATGGGTGTTCAAATGGTTTAATGCCTTACCTGTGGTTCATCCGTTTGTGATCCAGGTATAGTGTTTAAGATCTCACGGTTGTTGGGTGACATGAATAGATTGTCTTATCTACTTCCCCCGCGAAGGCTCCCTGCTGCTAAAGAGTTCTAACATAAGCAACTAATGAAATGGACGTTTACCATTTTCCTCATTGGGAGACAAACAAAGCAATATTTTCATGAAAGATGTGAGACTACAAACTTAACAAAGTACATCTGGCAAGTTGACTGGAGAATCTGTATTTTTTATTATTATTTTTTTCAGTTACATGATCGTCGATATTTATTGTGTCCCGCCGCGGTGAATATGTCACACCTAAAGAGATTTATCCGCAACAAGTACTCTTTATCAGATAGATATCAGGTAGGGTACTATTTAACTTTATCAACATGCTACTCAGAATTATTAGTGCAATTCCACTTTACGCACTGGTACGTGGGGATGGGCTAAACACCCAGAGCTAAGATAATAATAAGTGGGGATGGGGGGGGGGGGGCACTTCCATTATTCGAATGTGGCTCAGTTTAGTATTAGTGTTAGGTAGTTGGATAACTTTAATCTCTCAGATTTTGATGTACTTTAGTATGGTTATAATTGTATTATTTATCTGTTTATTATAGATTGATATTTATCATACTAACCAACCATTACGAGATAGTTTTAGTCTGGTCGATGTTGCCTACATATATTCCTGGAGACGAGTAAGTTCAATATATATTACATCTTGTATTAAGATTTGCATGGTTTTCACCTTGTAGGTAAAAATGTATGTTTGTTGTTTGTCCAATTGCAAAGACAATGTCTACTCGTTCGGATGAGACAAAAAACCGAGGTCCCGCGTACACATTGGCATACACGTAAAAGAACCCTTGACAGATGGAATTTGAAAAAAGAGTATGGCGTAGTTCTCCGCTGTCCGGGCAAAATGCCCCTCACAGCACAATGTATGTGGTTTGGTCGGTGCAGAAATGCAGGCCTGTAAACCCCCATTTCATTTTCAATTGTGCTAATACGTATTATCAAATCTGGATTCATTGTAAAGCAGCACTATAGCAGTGTTTTTGAAAATGTTCATTTAGTGAAATGATGAATCTTGGATCGTTGTTTCAGCGCCTTTGCTTGTCAATATATTAAAGCTACATTATGTAAAATTTAGATAAAGTTATGACTGATTGACAAGTTTTGAAAGCGTAAATAGTCCCGATTTTCAAGTACCATTGCTACGAAAATAAACAAAGTCTTGATTTTCCATTTTAGCATAGCAAATATTGTCTAATTCACTTAATATATCAGTCATCCGATGCTCTAGAGAGTTGATTATGAGTTTGTCATGTAAATAAATGTCTAAATAATAGATCATATAACAACAATTGAAGCCAGAAAAAAAACCCAGCAATAGGCAGATTTAGCTCCTACATAATGCGTGGTGGGGTGGGTTATGTGGGCGGGGTGGATGAACAAATGGTTAGCACGTGCTAGCTGTATCATAAGGTCTGTCATTGAGTCAACTGACGTGGTTCCGATTCCCCGGTTGTACGTGATAAGGAGTAGGGTAGCATGCCGGACCTCGTGGGTTTTCTCCGAGTCCTCCGGTTTCCTCCCACTGCTAAAGACCCCTACGTGCAAGCGAATTCTGGAAATAAAATTGAACCATGTTTTAGTCCCGAAATGACCTAGTTTGTGTCGAGTGGACGTTAAATCTCTCTCTCTCTCTCTCTCCCTCCCCTCCCCGCCCCCTACATAATGCATCATAAGTAAAAGTGTTTGGATTGATCGTTGAGCACTGTACAGCGTTCTCTGTCTTATATTTATGTGGTGAAAGTCTGAATTGATCGTTGAGCAGTATTGATTGCTTGTCTCTATTTAGCAAAACAAAAAGTCTGGATTGATAAAGATTGAGTGTTGGTTGTCTGTTTTAGTAATAAAAAAAACGTGCTGTTATCAATTGATAAAGTTAGAGTGTCCAATTTTAATATTTGAATATGTTTTCTATTTGCAGGAAGGAATATTGAGATTATTTTACGCCTTTTATATGAACGAGGCCAAGAAGATAAAACTGGACATGCCACCAGAAGAACCCGTTAAAGAAGTGGAGGATGTCAAAATAGAACCAGAATACACCAGTAAAGAAATGATCTTTGAAAGGTCGATTTCTATTATCGAAACCGAGAAAAAACCTACAAGTGGTGGCCCTAAACCAGTTTCCAATGGAAACTTCGTTCAACCGACGCCTATTCCTGTACAAGAAGAAACGAAAGCTCCTAGTCTTCCGGTGACCACCCCGAAACCGTCATCGCAGGAAGCAACTGTGAACACTGATGTTGATGTCCTCAGTGCACAGTTTGATGATGATGACGACGAAGAATCGGAAATGCAGATAGTTATGGGAGAAATTGAAATTATGGACGATTCCGAATCAAATTTGGAAATCGTTATTGATGATAAACCCGAAAAGACACCCATTCCGGCTCCAGAAAAAGTCGCTCCATTAAAGATTAAAATTAATAATGATTGTACTAGTACATCTACCAAATCTAAACCTGTGCCCGTCGTTTGCACCCCCGTCCCGAAAACAAAAACTCCCGAACCAAAGGACTCAAAAGACACTACGAACCAAGATCGCGTCAACAATAATTCTAAGTTCCCAGAGAAATCAAGCAAAGAGTCGAAACCAAATCATACAGAACCTCCCAGAATGTATGTCAAAACTTCCTTACCCAAAACCCCTGTTAAAGATACGGTATCCCATAGCAGCTCGTCATCTAAACCATCTTTTAAAGATTCATCTCTACAAATACCAAGATCCACTGTAAAGGACACTGCCTCTCAAGTTGTTACATCATCACAGAAAGAGCCCACGTCAAGACCTCTCCCTTCACCTGTCAAAGAAACGCAATATCGTTACCCAACAACATCACAGCCAGAAAAGAAGGATACGTCTTCACGACCTCAGTTGACCTCCCCAAAAGATACACCATCACATAACCAGTCACAACCAAAGAAAGATTTGACATCGAGACCGCCATTGATAAAAGATTCCCCAACACCTCGAAGCATCCAATCACCATTAAAAGAATCTACACCAAGGCCATTGATGTCACATCACAAAGAGTCGACGTCACGACCACAGCATTCTTCGCATCATTCGAAGGATATGTCGCGACCAGTGACGTCACACTCTCACTCACACTCGTACTCATCGTCCCATACCATGACATCTACTAATAAGGAATCGTTTGCGCGCCCCCCATCGTCGCCGAAGAAAGAAAGCTACAGTCATATCCCATTGTCTCCCAATCGTTCTACAGCCCCACCCCATTACACATTAATTAGTGGAAAGGACACCACCTCAAGAATTTCTAACTCCACCATTAAAGATACGGCCGCACAGATCGGCAAGTCGGGACATAAAGACAGTTCTCATTCCCATTCTATTAAATCTATGATTAAAGATACTTCAAGTCCTAGTCCAATAACTACACATATAAAACACGTACCACAGGTACCTAGACTGGTGAAAACTCCCATTACACAGCTTAAACCCCATTCGTCCGACTCGTACCCCCAAAATCCCCGTACCATGATACCAAACTGGCAGCCACACAGAGAAAATTTCTATAACGGGCATTACAAACCCCCACAAGAAAAACCGCTTGAACTAAAACGTGAACCGTTTCCACTAGATTACTCAAAACCATCCTAGAAATGTTTAGGGACGGTGAAGGATGTAGTCTGGCATTTCAGCGGAGTGCTGGATGATAAAATGTGAATGTCTATAAAAGCTGTGTATAAGGATAGGCAAATGGATTAGCAGTGCAAATTGGATTATTTCGCTAAGATTAAAATCGATGGATTATGTTAATATAACTTGTGAGAAAAGTTCGGTTATAAACTCTGATTTGTAATTTACTTTCGTCTAAAGTAAAAGATAAACGATGTCGTTTATTAATAATCTTTCATACCATGCGCATAAAAATACATGCGATCGGGGCGTTGTTATATGATTATAAACGTTAAAAATTTTATGGCGTGGAATAAGGAGAATATTTGTGGCATTTTGCAATTATGAACAGTGAGGTGCCTTGTATATGTGAATGGACGACTTACAGACACATACGTTGTGATTTCTACACCATTCATCAAGTCCAGAATCTGAATGATTGTCGAAAGTCTTGATTGACAATTGATTTAGAGTGTAAATGTGTAACTAAGTGTACTGGTTTATTAATTCGTGGTCAGCTGTTGGAACTATTGATTTCCTTAATTGACTTGGAGTACAGTTCATTTCACCCAACAAAGACAACGCGGGATTGAATTAATTATGTACAAATTACACTGGGAAACCCCTAGTTCTATAAATAGATTTACGATTACACGGTTGTGTTACTAAATGTTAAATATTATTATTTAATATTATGGTATGTAAATACGAATTTCCTTTATAATAACACATCTATAGTTGGAGAAGTGGTGGCTCTTTACTTTATGCATTTCAGTAGAAAGAAAGAAAAATACATCTCTCTGATGTCCTATTTGTAATGTACATGAGTGATTTCCGTCGTGGTATTTATTAAGTCTTATTTTCAAATTAAAATCTGTTTATTAGTTTTGATTTATATGATTTGGGAAATGTTTAACTGGATACGAACTCTTTGATGTGGGAAATATTTAACAGGATACGAATTCTTTGATTTGGGAAATGCTACAGCAAGATACAAACTCTTTGATTTGGGAAATGTTACAAGAAGATACAAACTCTTTGCTTTGGGAAATGTTACAACAGAATACAAACTCTTTGATTTGGGAAATGTTACAACAGGATACGAACTCTTGGATTTGGGTAAAAAAATAAACTTGTCGAATCAATTAAATTTGATGTTCATTTGTTCAGATTAAAACGTAGAACCGTAGATGTAGCCAACGTTAAGATATAACTGATTTTCGGCTCTTCATTTGACAGCCAAAGCCACAATTTAAAATAAATTTGATTAGTGCTGGGTATTGCGATTCAGGTGCTACGATACGATTCGTATCGTAATTCATAACCAGGTCAATATTTACCAAGAAAACAACAGGATAAATGAATAATTTTATTTTTATTGGAGTCACTAAACCTGGAAAGAAAATTGCAATTACTGTTCACGTCAAAATAAGGACCAAAACAATTTAAGGGTATTGTGTACGTGGATAATTAAGAGTGAGAGGTTACTTAACTGTTGCGACAAAAATCATTTTAAAAAAATCGATTCAGCGAGAGGATTAATCGCGATTCATCAATATATCGTACCAGCACTAATTTTGATACACTGACCGATTTCCGCTTTATCTTTCAAAACACAAATTTAACCCAAGAGATTGTCCGATCACTAAACGAAATAACACATGAAATAACTCAACGCAACAAGTTAGTTTGACCCAAATCAAAAAGGTTTAGCTCTTTTTAAAATTTTGTAGTATTTACTGGATTTGATTTTCTGGACAAAACTACCATTAATATACCTATTAGTCAACTCGGGTATGAATTTAATACCCATTGCTGCACCACGGAGTTGCTAGAAATTTAAATTATAAATTTTAAGTTCCTGGAATGCTACCTAATATTAAATACTCAGGTGCGAAACGAATGCCCCTTTGTGGTACCATGCAATTGGTGGACAGTTCAATCAAATCCATTTATAAATCGTAATTTCCACTAAACAATAATGTATGAAATTAAAAGCATATTTGGTAATTTAATGCGAGGTTTACATCAACATCTTTTGTTTTAAAAAATATTGATAATTAAACTAATTCAATGAATTTAATTGTGTATATATGTATCTTATGTATGATTATTATTTTGTTTTATTATCTAAGAATGGACTTACCTAAAAGCCAGTGCACATATTACGATTACTTGTCGTTCTCTCGCAGTAACGACGAATAATCGCCCGTGTTCACTGGCAATCAAATATGTGTTCATTATTGTTATATTAATTGTTCATATAGATAGACATTTCAACATATTAAAATTATAACTCTGTTCTCTTAATCTCCTCTCTTCTTCTATGTTATTGTGTACTTATTCTTCTCTTCTTTTTTTAACTTCCGTTTTCCTATAAAACAATCTTGTCAGTCATTCTCTTTAAAAACTGAAAGTAAACAATAATGTAAAATACGATCTACATGTTGTACATATTTTTGTTACCGAAAGGATGGAATAGGTTTACCCTGGGGGAGAAAGATTAATCCTTTGGGAGCCACGGTGACTCCGTGGGTAAGGCTCTGTCTCATTAACCAGGAAATCGCGGTGTTGGCCGAGAAACCATCTCCGGCTATTTCAGCGGGATTTCCCTTGGCCACGGTGCAGGACTGATGACCTGGCAATAAATAGCGTTTACTCGTTCGGATGGGACGCAAAAGGGTCCAATGAGAGTTCAAAATCGATGAAAAGTATACGGAACGTCGCTGCCCATACAAAATTCTAATGAAACACGACATGGTCCATGGCCTTCTTCATTATCTCGTTTGATTAGAAAAGTAGGGCCATTATTTCGCGATTACTTCATGAATGAAAGGGAGCAGAAATGCTAAAATCGTTAGGATAATGTATTTATTTAGTTTTTAAAAAGTTACTTAGCGGTTTTTTTAATAAGTAGATTTAGTAAAACATTACAGTAACAGTCCCATATTTCATATGTAGTTCGTTAAAGTATGTGAATGTATCGACCAAAAAGCAAAGATTTGTTTCTAAGCAAATAAGTAATAGTTTATTTTCGTCCCTTGACTCAAATTAAATTATGGCAAACATTAGTTAATCGGCTTTTACATCCGACCAGACAATGTTTTTTTGTTAAAATAATATAAATACATTATCCTAACGATTTGAGTCGAGCATCTCTGTAATTATATCGCGGTTAGTAATTCCATCCCATTATCGATATACGGAAGTCCGCGGATTATACTTTCTTTTCAAATAAGATTGAAATTAAACATAAATTATTTATTTTCAAATTAATTTCTGTATTTCATGTTTACGGTCTTAGGTGACTGACATGATTTTATTGAACTGAATAGTTTCTGGTTTATATGTTTACAAAATTGTTATTTTTAGATGTGTTCAATGTAGCCCTAATTATATTTGTTAAAATGATTTCTCACTTAATTAATCTTGTGTATTTTAAATCGTTGTTAATATTTTTCATTTATCTTGAGGCAATTATTTTCAGAGAGGTATTACTATTTTTAATGGCAACATTTTTTTTTTAGCTTTTGTTCTAAGAAAAAGTACAGATATAAAAAAAAAAGATACTAGGGCATGTTAATATTTATCAACCAATAAAAACTGTTTGTTAGATTATTTATCGTAGAACTTGTTACGTAGTACACATAGTTTGTTTGTTGATTATCGGTTGTAGAACGTGTTAAATTATAGCGTATCACGTGATGTTGTGACGTCAAAGGCTGCCAGGCAGTGAAATGTGTATATAGAATTATATTTAATTTAACTGTAAAGGCCCCGGGTACCAAGTATCACTCACTATCATTAATAAATAATAATGATACATATATATATTGAAAATTGAAATAAAACACATTATTGTGCAATTTCAAACTTGTCTTCGTTTTGATTTACCGTATTAATGGATCTGTTCCATTCTAATTATATGGTTTAGCCCATGAATGTTTTCAGAATGGCTGCCGATCAGATGACCGATATGTACGAGACTTACGTTTGTTTTATTAGTGTTCGGCCAGGTTATTCGAATATTCGATCACTGAACCCATGGATTCGAATATTGGGCATACAATAAAATTGGACTATAGAGCTAGTTTCTGATAGGAATAACTACTGCCGTTACAAGGTATTTTAGGAGTAGCGACCCTTCATGATATATGGATTCAGCAGTTGGTATACAGGTCCTTGCAAGTCAATCATCAGCACTTGCATCATCGTGTATGCTAGAAAATTGCTAAATTAGCCAAGTTTTATCTGGGGATAAGTGGGCATTAAAATACATGATCAAAGAAACCGGCCGTACAAATCACAGAAGAGTAAAACGTTAAATCCCATTTCATTTCATTTTAAACGTAACTCTGAAACATCTACCGCTACTGACAAAAATTTCTCTTGACGGTGATTAAAAGGAAAGTTGTGTGTGTGTGTGAAAATCCAAGTGATTATTCGATTAAAGGTTAATTAATTTAGTGTGCTAGATATATATGACATCATTAAAAAGTTGATATTCGTAGAGTCAGCCAGTGTTGAAATTGATATTTTGAAACAGCAGCGTAATACCGAGAAGGAGTGTGTGTATATTCTACACAATACTTTTATATATCCAAGTTTTTATTCGAGGAGCTGAAATTGGGTAAGACGCTGGTTCACTAGCCTAGTGGTCGCGGGTTCGATCCCGGTGTTGGCCGACAAATTTCATCGGGATTTTCCGGCGTGATTTCCCATTGTCAGTTGTGCAGGACGGAGGTCTTGACAAGGAAGCTGTCTAGTCGTTCGGGTGGAACGAAAAACCGAGGTCCCGTGTACATATAGGCGTGCACTCAAAAGATCATTTGGCAGTTGGCCGTAGCGTCATTTTCCGGGCAAAATGTCCCTCTTAGCACACTGTATGGCGTATGCTCGTCTTCATTAGCCAGTCGGAGCAGAACAGAAGGACGTTAAACTCCATTTCATTTCATTTCATATTTGAGGGAATGTATTATCATCTGAATGACAATGGCTGAATACTTATTTGCCCATTTATTGACCCAAAGCTGCATCAAAAATATACAATGGTAGTCATTAATATTTGGTCTTGGTTTTAATCAATGTCATACACAAGGCATTATATACCGTGTTTAACCTTTCAGTAAATCTAACAACACCTTGGTTTGTTCGTAACGTGTAATATCAAGTTACGTGAATTGTGCAATAATTTTAAATTCTATCATTTGTGATTGGTCCCTACTGTGTTGTCATTTCCGAACTTACAGGTGGTCTACATCAAGTGGATTTTCACCTGTCTGACTCGCTGATTCGAAAATCAATATGTCTGTAATTATTAGACGAAACAGGCATTACATAAGAATAAAGGGATAAAATTGTAAGCACAGATATAACATATACCAAGGAACCAAAATACAAAGTTAGACATAGCTATGTGGACATCTCAACCGATTTTCAGAAAGAGAGAGAGAGGAAAAAATGGGGTTTATCGTCCACTTGGCACAGACTAGATCATTTCGGGTCTACCATATGGTTTAATTTTATTTCATTAATTCGCTTGCGCATAGGGGTCTTTAGAAGTGAGAGAAAACCGGGGGGGGGGGGTGCGGAGAAAACCCAAGAGGTTGGACAGGCGACCCTACTCTTTGTCACGTAACGGGGAATCGAAACAACGCCATTTGACTCAATGACAGACATAATGATGCAACGCGCACGCGTTAACCATTCGGCCACCCAACCTCTTGTTTCAGAAAGTAAATGAAATCATATCAAATGGGATTTGATGCACGAGTGGACGTCGGTTTTTCGTCTCATCAGAACCACTATAGACGCCATTTTGTTATATGACCTTCTGTCCTGCCCCATTGGCAAACGGAAACTAGGCTAGATAATCCTATGACATTCTCGGTCAATTCTGGAGTCCAACTCATGTTTGAGAAGGTACGACGCAATGCCCACAAACAATCTACGAGGCGGGCGGTCACGAGCAACAAACCTGACGAACATTTTAAACACCAGTGAGTGGATCAATTGTTTCAATGGCAAATTGTTTCAACTAGGCTTCTCTAGTCATTATCAAGCAATGATAAAATAAGAAACATGACAAGACAATATATACATGTAGACAACAATACTTGGTTAATTACATTACCTTAATTAAGTTAGGTTCCCTCCAAGGTAATAAGAGGGGTATCTCCTCTTGATCAACATTAACCCAGTATTGTTGTCTACATGTATATTATATTATTGTTTGTTATATAGCATTGCTTTATAATGGGGGGGGGGGCGAATGGTTAGCGGTGCGCTGTATCATAAGGCCTGTCATTGAGTCAACTGGCGTGGTTTCGAATCCCCGGTTGTACGTGACAAGGAGTAGGGTCGCTTGTCCAACCTCGTGGGTTTTACTGATAATAAATAGCGTTTTCCACACTTGGTTTGAGGTTTACACTGCACATTAGGTTATGTTGCTCCACAGCCCACACAGACTTAAATATAATTCATCCAAATGATTTCAAATGTTGAAATGAAAAATAATTCACAATTGTTGACTCAGTGTATATAATCATTCATAATTAGATTTTTTACAGGCATTCGCTATAGTTTTATTTTGTTTAAATAAGATACTACTCAAAACTTTAATATCTAAAGTCATTAAATTGGTTACTTATTCAATGTTTTCCAAGTTGCTAAAAATATTAGACTACACAATGTATGTGTTAATTAATGATAATTTAAAGTAATACAAAGATAATTTATGTTAGACCTCTATTTAAAGATGTAATATGTAAGATTTAGATAAAGAGCTGATTGTTCTCGCTATAATATTTCAGGGTATATTATTCCTTTTGTGCCAATAAATATTGAAAAAAAAAGGTACATGACATAAAAAAGAAATCTCTCTTAAATTGTCTCGAAAACAATTTCTTCATTTTTCGACTACGACAACGGATATTATTTTCCTCACTTGGATTGGGTGGCGGGGGAGGTGGGGGCAGTGTCGGCTATGAGGAAGGATATTGTCATCACTTTATATAAAAAAATATATATATATTTGATCTATGAATGACAAAGGGTATTTTTCTACTTTGGTGTTAGGAAGCATAGTTTCTGACTTACTTGTGAGGTGAGGAAGAAAAGTATGGGTCACAGGGGCATGGATGTGACGAAGAACAGAAGGTATAACACTGTGTAATAATATACGCCCCTGGTATATTGTAAATTTCATTCAAATTACTTTAATCTGAGCGAAGTTCTGGCTGTTGGAAGATGTAGAGTAGATTATTTATTATCATAGCAACGGTACTGGATTAAGGAGGCTGAGCCTCTATTATCCATTTTATCGTTAAATTTGTAAATCTCACGGGCGTACTAATCCATTTAAATCTCTTTAATCCGATGGTCTGGAGAACTGATTATTGATTGGGCATGTCGATAAATGTCTAAATATTTTTTTCTATAAAATTTGAAGCCAAAATAAAGACCTGCAATAGACAGATTTAGTTCTTACATTATGTATCTTTAACTATCGACTACATCTCTTCATTTTCGTGATTAAGTTAATATATATTGCTATAAAGTATCACATGAATTGCAATATAAATATTTTATTACAAAACGCAAAAGTTTTCATGAAAAAACTTGAAATCGTAAATTTATAACTAATTAGCTAAATATTATTTGCCAAATTTGGATGTCTTAATATTGTTTAATATCTATGGATAGTAAATATAAATAATCAGAACTTGCAGTCTTTTTTGTGTACAAATGTTGCAGGATCCTATACTCGAGGTAGAAGATTTCAGGAATACCCAATATCATTTCAGTGTGTTCTAATAAGTTATTCAACAGACTGTAATCACGCGAGTCCGTGTCTTTTTATTTTATTACATTATCGAAAGAACGTTTGCCTCCAAATAATTCTTATGTCCATTTTTGCTGACTGAATGAAACATCCTGTACAACATCCTCCCAGGCGTATTAGGCGAGGTGGCGCGTGGGTCGAGGGGCAGGTGTGTTCAAAGATATGTTTTTCTGGCAAAATAAGCCAACTACTTTCAACCTAAAATAGTAAACTAAGCCATTAAATATTGCGTTATTTGGAGCAATATCCATAGATAAATTCAGACATACTTTTAGAGCCCCCCCCCCCCCCCCCCATACACCGCTTACCGCATTATATGAGTAAAGGAATTAGATGCAACTGGCATATAATATGTCCGCCAGACTCAAATACCCTTATGAAAGTACATGTAATAAAAATTTATATCCTTTTGATTTGGTTACACAGTTTACAACGTTTACAAGACATTTAGACAATAAGAGAGCTTTGACATTAACCTATTTCACAGCAATTTTAAACGGGTTCAGAAGTACGCCTTTCTTCCAACTTGATATAATTATCTATAGACTCGAATAATCAGTAATCGATATGACTGTATCGTCTGCGTGTTAAGATAAACGACACCCGTCACTCTGTCAAACGCCTAATGGAGAAGAAATCAATTTTGGGTTGTTAGACATGAAAACTAAAAATGGATTACGTGTCTACAGACAAATTAGTTGGACGGATGGGAATTGTAAATTATCAAGGCCAATGTCATCGCAGTTCAGCTCGGAACCTGCATCCTTTTTAGTTAAAAAATTTGATACCTATAACATGCCATTTCTGTAAGTAAACTGGTAGACGTACAGACATTAACTGTCTCGGCCATCCCCGGAATCGTACCCTGAACACTCTGGCTACTGGACTAGCGCCTTTTTTCTTGTGGAACAGCGCCGTAATCATAAGCTTAACAAGCTACACCTTAGGGCCTACAATCAGAAGATTTTTGTTTTTCAAATTTTATGGGGCTTCATATGTGTACTTGTTTAGCAATTATTTT